ATGGGCAAACATCTCCCACATGCGCAACAGAGAACCAAAAATCAGTTAGCCAGCAGGAGGGTTGCGGCGCATTTCAGGATAATCATAAGTTGACTTCCAAATACTTTGTAGGCCTTCGGAAGCAGGGACACTGCTACTAGGGAAGTTCCCCCTATTTAAACCCACTGATTTTAACTGTTATTTCCCCGTAATTTATCTTTGGTTTATCATTTCAGGTGGTTGCTACAGGCGATCCGGTTCTAGATTATGAAACGATGCCGCACGCATTTGATCTGCAGATCCTTGTGGCTGATTCGGTGGGAGCCATGGAACTACAGGTTCTGACGGTCCAAGTGACCGACATCAATGAACCTCCGATGTTTCTAGGCAACTTGGCAAATCAAAGTAAGAACCTGGCTTGGTTCAAATCCACCTTTTGCCATCCCTGACTTATAACAGTCTGCTTTGTGACCGTTCCAAATTGAAATAAACCGAGAGAAAAGTATTGTATTTTTCGGCGCATAAGACACACCTTTTCCCTCATAAAAGAGGCTGAAAATCTGGCTGCGTCTTCTACACTGAATACCGCATTTTTTGCCTCCAGAAACTCCACCTCCTTCACCAAATGGCTGTGCAGAGCCTCTAGGAAGCTTATAGAGAGCTCCTGGGAGCTGGGGAGGGGAGAAATGAGCAAAAAATGGCCCGTTTTTTTGCTCAATTTTAACCCAGCCCCCAGAAGCACTCTATAAGCTTCCTAAAGGTTATCCGTGCCTTTTTTTAATGAAAAATTGGCTCATTTTCAAAAAAAATGGGCCATTTTTTGCTCATTTTTGGGTGCCCCACCCTCCCCAGGAGCATTCTGCAAGCTCCCTAAAGGCTATTCATGCCTTTGGGGGGGGGGGAACGGGCCGTTTTTGGGAGGTTTGCAGAGTGCAAAAACTTTTTTAAAAATTTTTTTCCTCTTCAAAACCTTGCTGCGTCTTATACTCCGAAAAATATGGTAACTTTAAACTCTAAAACTGCCTCATAAACTTATGACTGTAGCCATGTGATCAAAATTCAGCAACTGATTCATACTTATGACGGTTCCACTGTCCCAGGGTCACGTGATCACATTTTGAGAACAGATTCACTTAGCAACCACATTATTAACTTAACTGCAGTGATTCACTTAAGAACAAGGGCGAGGAAATTCGTGAAATGGGGCAAACTCACTTAACAAATGTCTCACTTTGCAACAGAAATATTGGGCTCAATTGTGATCGTAATTCGAGGACTACCTGTACTGCTGACAGTTCTTGTCCATTCTTTAAAAATCAATTCAAAGCACTGCTTTCATAATGAATAGAGTAGAATTCTTTATTGGCCAAGTGTGATTGGACACACAAGGAATTGGTCTTTGGTGCAGATGCTCTCCGTGTCCATAAAAGACAAGATACATTCGTCAAGAATCATAAGGTGCAGCAGTCATAGGGTACAAATAAGCAATCAAAGCATACTAGGACACAATGTCAATATAAATCATAAGGATACAAGCAACGAAGATACAGTCATACAGTCCAGAGGTGGCTCCACCCACCCACCCGGACGTTTCTGCGCATGAGCAGAAGTGTTGTGTGCATGTGTGGGAGCGCGCCCGAACTGGTAGTAAAAATATTGGCAACCCACCACTGACACAGTCATAAGTAGGAGGAGATGCACACCAAGACAACTAGACAGAAGAATAGTTTTTTTTTCCCAAATGCCATCCCTCTACTAAACAAATAATTCCCTCAACACAGTCAAACTATTTACTAAGTCTGCATTACTATTAATCTTCTGCATTTTGCAAATTGCACTTGAACCTGGTAGATTTTTAATGTCTACTAGATTTCAGTGCAGTGCTCTGTAGCCTCGTTTTGAGGGTAGGAGTTGAAACAATCGATGTCCAGGATGCGAAGGGTCTGTAGATATTTTCACGGCCCTCTTTTTGACTCGTGCAGTGTGCAGGCCCTCGATGGAAGGCAGGTTGGTAGCAATTGTTTTTTCTGCAGTTCTAATTATCCTCTGAAGTCTGTGTCTGCCTTGTTGGGTTGCAGAGCCAAACCAGACAGTTATGTGGGTGCAGATGAC